GGAAGGAGGGAGGACAGGAACGGGGTGTACAAGATACAGACATACAGACAGAAAAATACAGAGGAGATATGGAAGAAGGGAAGGGAAATTGGATGGGGCAGACAGGAAGGAGTGGGGAGACAGAAGAGACAAGTGGTTAGTGGCGTGAATTTCAGACCAAGTTGTCCCCTTCTCCCACCCAACAGGCAACCTGACACCTACCCCCCTTCCCCAAGCTGCCCTCCTCCCCTCAGTAGAGACCAGGACTGGAGATGAGGTCAGATATGGTAAATGTCCAGAATAGGATTGGAAGAGGGTCTGCTTCCCCAAACCCCCGTGTGCCACTTTTCAGCCTCTTTATCCCTCCCAAGCAGGCTCTCCCTAGGGACTCTGGAGTCCCAGCCCTCCACCTCCCTGGAAGGGAATGAGACCGACAGACAAGGAAGAGAAAATAAAAATACCAAGTCATTAGTTAGCAGGAAGTGGCGGGTTTGTTTACACGTGTTAATTACTCCTGAGCTGTAATTTCATGGCACTGAACCCCCACCCCAGGCCAGACTCTGGGCCTTCTTAGGACTATACAAACCCTAGCACCTACTTCTCCCCTTCAGCATACCATTTCCTAAAGATTTGTGCCAGCCAGGAACCCCTGTCTGCCCAGGCCCTTCTATTTCTTCCCTCAGAAGTTGGGGTGCCTACAGTCAGGTGTTGAGTGAGGAGGGTATGCTGGAGGGGCAAATCGGAGGACAGATAACTGATCCTGCAGCCGGTTGCTGGGAGACAGGATGCTGCCCCGCAATGTTACCTCGGCAACGGGCTGCAGCTTTAACCCTGGAAGGGGGGTGTCTAGAGGAAGAGGGGAAGGGGCTGGCTTGGTTGTAGGGTCCATTCAGGGCACAACAAGGAGGACAGAGGCATGAGTCAGAATGCTAGTTCCTCCCAAGCTTAGTAGAGAGGGAGAAGTATGTATGTTCAGGGAAAGGGTAGTCTGGGGAAATGGAGAACCCTAAAATCTATGTCTCTCCACCCTCCTCCCCACCTTGCTAAGCCATTCAAAGCCTAACCCTACTGACATGGCTCTGGCTGGGGAGAAGCTGTGCTGAGATGAGCTTCTCAAATAAGCCTATTGACTTCCCTCCCATAGTCTTGAACAGCCTTGGACCCCAAACACCTCTTCTTTGCATAGGATTTTGACCCATGTCCTGGGGGCAAACCTTAGGTTTCCTCTCATCCTATCTCTTCCATTAACCCTCCCTCCTTTCCTTGTGACAGCCCCCAATGTTGGTACTTAGATGTCTGGGTGCTCAGACAACATGGGCAGAAAAGGAAAAGAGACAGAAGGGGCAGTCACCCAAGTTATTTCAGCAAGCCCCCCCCCCCCCCCC